ATCCCTTCTTGTCTAAAGTAAAACATAGTTTGTTGCCAAGATTTCATTAATTCAATAAATAAAAATACAAGTAAGCTCCAACTTCAACAAGCTCGAGTTTCCCTTCTAGCTGTGAAACCACAGCACCCCGATGGCTTCTAAATATGTCAACACATCCCTTCCCATCCCAAACTCGCCAGTGTGGAGAACATGATTTATGAGGTTGTCTGACCATTCTTGAAAGAGGTTTTAAATTTTTTACTCTTATAATAAGTGCAGTTCCTTCATTCAGTGGTAAATGATTGTGGGTTCTTAGAGAAAAGGGCTAATTTCTGGAAGAAGAAGAAGAAAAAAAAAAAAAAACTTGGAAGAGATCTGCAAATAGCTCTGTGGCACCTTATGGTGTGTGAGCTAATTACTGGCCCTAAGTTGCCTAGTAAACGGTCTTTGTTTGGGAAGGTTAAGTTTCATCTCGGTTCCAAAAACTCAGAGCCAGACAGGGAAGGGGAAAAAATGATGGTGTCTGTGGCGAGGCTGGCAATGCTGCCTGCCGGCTGGTTATTTGGAAAGGTTTTAGAAGATGTGTTATGAGGCATGGTAATGTGTGTCATTTGTCATGACTTAAGTCAAAGGATTTAGCAGGTTGAGCCTGTGGACTTGAAGTTGGAAATGGAAATTATCAGATAATGTGTGAGCCTGACTTTCATACCATCAAAGACGGAGGAAGAGGGTGCTACTTTTTGAACTGCAGAATATAACCAAGTAGAAGAGGGGAAATTTGACTCACCCAACTTTAAATGTATTTTCATATAGAAAAGTGAGTTTCAGTTGTAGAAAAAGTTCCTCAGTTTAGAAGCTGTTGATGAGGAATGTGAATGTTCTAAAATATGTCAAAATGGAGGCATCCCTTGTTCTGAGAAAGAACCCTTAAAAAACTGGAAGGTGCAGTGCCTTTCCCCTGAAGTACTCTTTCTGTTCTGGTTTCTTGAAAATTTATGTTCAAGGGCAATTGAACGTAAACCTAACTCTCCTCACCAATGATTCTTAGTTTCAAGTAATAGAAACTCTCTCAAACTGGTGTAAGTCAAAAAAGCAGCATTTCTTATAAGGACAAAGAGGTATCTCATGGAACTCAACAGGCTAAAGTGAGTTCAGACTTAGGAGAGATCAGAACCAGGAGCCAGAAAACCATGAAAAAATCAAAGCACCTGCTCTATCTGTATGCCTTCCTGGTCTCCTGATTTGCCTTTTCACTCCATTCTGTTTTCTCATCGTGTCCTGACGACTGTCTTTCCCTCCTTAGTCAGGTCAAGCCTGAAGTTGATCATTCCACAGTGTCTTCAATTCCCAGATCTACAGCTCTTTAATTCATGTGACTGGCCAAGGTCACAAATTAGCCAACCCTACAGTCCAGACTCTACTCTAAGCAGTTTACATGTTGTATTAACTTATTTAATCCTCTCGTCTAAACTATAATGTTTATCCCCATTTTACAGATAAAATTGAGGCAGAGAAGCTAAATGACATCTAAATTCCCATAGCAAATTAGTAGTAGATTTGGATGTCAAACCCAGGCAGCCTGGCTCAAGAGTCTGTGCTCTTAACCACTGCTGGTCTGCTCACTCAGTCCTGATGCACACCCCCCAGAAGAGAGAATAGAGTTGGCTTATATCCGCTTGAATAGTATCTCTTGGATTATTCCACTCCCATCAGCCATTCCCTGGATGGTGATGGGACCCCAACTGGCCACATGGCACCACATGAATTTTAGGACCCATTATGGTGGAGAGAAATCAGTTTTCAGGGATTGGGGAATGGAGATCAGACGGGTACTAACAATGTCTTTCACATTTCACTATGAAAACTCTGCTTTCTGAGCCAAGTCATGGGATAGTGTGGCAATATAGAATTGAAAGTCGTTAAAATTTTTGAAACAAAGAGGATTTTCCTGGACACAATTATTTTCACAAAGGCAATTCCGTATGTGAGTGGTTGTTTCACTTCCCTCTAGAATTCTCTAGAGATGAGGATTTTAAGTTCCCCACATAGCGCTTCTGCCAGGTTCTTGCAGTCTGGGAGTTCTTCTCCCAGTCCAACCTAAATCTCTCTAATGGCAGCTGAAATTGATTTCTTTGTCTTGCTTTTAGGGTAAACTCTACCAAAAACGAAATATGAGGATATTCTGAAGGAATTCTGTTCTTTGGCCAAGTGTCACACTGATTTAATTAGAAAATTTTATCAAAAGACTAATAACAAAGGCATTATAAAGTTCCTGGAATTATGTGTCTGGAAAGAGTTTTATATATTTATATATATATATATATAATATATGTGTGTGTGTTGTGTGTATGTATATGAGTACATGAGTGAGAAAAGCATTCCAAATCTGAGAAAACATTGGCTTCATAGCAGAAATGATGAGGAAGATAAAACTGTGAACTAAGAAATAGGCATTTTTTGGATACATATTTCTGACCCTCACCCCATAAATGCCCTAATGCATGAGACGATGGTCTACATGGAAATTTTGATGCATTTAACACTTTCCTAATACAAAATTCCATTGAATGTATATAATATTCTACCATGGCAAAAGACCAAAGTAAAATGAAAAATCAAACAAGATATTCTCATTCCGTTCTAAATTACCCAAAGAGAGTTTCAGCTCACTCTCTCCTTCCCAGAATTGCCTAGTTTTTGCTGCTAATACAATAGTTATCTCAGCTTTTGTAGGCCTCAAATCTTTTAAGCAGTTCTCATCTCCCTTCTACTGCAGCCAAATGATTAGCTGATGGGTTAGCCCTGCTTCCACCTCCGACACACACACACACAGACACACGCATGCACATACACACATACACTTCCTGTGTCTATTCCTTCCCATCTTCCTTGCAATCGTGGTTTGGGCCTATTCTACTCCAGGGTCAACCTGTAACAATAAGCAGCCTCTTAGTCATTCTAGGCCTTGTTTTCGCTTCCAGAAGACAGCAGTGGCCATCGGCTTCCAGAGGTAGCATTTCTGTCTTATTGCTTCATCATCACCTCTCACTACCTTGTAGAACCAATAGAAGTTGCAACTCAGTGACCTCTCAAAGGTCTCTGCCTTAACTAGAAAACTTCAGTTCATACCATACCTCCACCTGTGATTTCACTCCAACTCTACGGAGCAACATGCTTTCTGTTTCTGTTACTGTTGAGAATCCCATCTGGTAAGCAATACTTGCCAGAGACGTCAAATGCATGAATTATGAATGAAGCCCCTGTTCTACTGTTGTGAGAAACAACATTAAGCAGGGATAATCCCACAAAATGCAAAGTGCGGATTCCAGGTCCATTCCACTCCACACCTCATGGAATTAGAACCTATTTCATAGGTACCACACCCTTGATCAAGTGCTCTAAAGACCAAGAAAGAAGGCTTTAACAATTGAGATGGCTTCACAAGGACGCACTGGAAATATTTGATTTATTCATTCAACAGATACTCATTAAGCTCATGGACCAGCCACTGAGCTACTACTTCAGGTTCTTGTGTTCTTTCAGCTCCTTGGAGGTATTTGCTGAAGATCTTGGTGGGAGTTGGGGACTGAGAATTTCAAGGGTAGTGGGTGGGAAGCTACAGCCAACCCCTGATAGAGCAGTCTCAGTGGCCCAACCATGCTCTCCTGCCTGTAGACGCCCCAACTATTATATGACACCAGTGGTTTCCTTTGGATATCTCTTTCATTGACTCCTTTTCCTCTAGCTTCTTTGTTTGCCAATGTCCCTACCCTAACACCTCTTTCTTCTGCTCTTCTGCCTCTCACTAATTCTCAGGGTTCTCCCTGCCTTCATTACCTTCCACTCATAAGAAAAGCTAATTGAGCCAACCAATCCAGACCTCTCCCCTTCCAGGATTTTTTTTTCACAAAGCACGATGCTTCAAGGGGGCAACATTTAGCTCATATGAATGAACTGCTATTAACTGAATTGAAGTATTTTTGCCTTGGTTGAGAATGGAAGGTCTGCTCTACAAGGGGATTTTTGGCTGATGGAAGCTTTCCTGAGGTAGTTCAAGGCAACTTAAAGAGACAGCAAACTTTCTGCCTACTTCCATGGTCAGCTCTGAAGAAAAGATTCAGTGTACTCTAACAAAGAAGGAGCAGAGGCTCAAATAATCTGTGTTGTCTACAGAGTTGACTCCTTGGATTTGTTTCAAACTTTAATCTGTCTCCAGCCTAAAGTTCTCTGCCAATGACAGAGAAGTACTTTAAGACTTAGTGGGCTTAGTGTGATCACATTAGCCTTGACTTTCAAGTCACCAGACACAGCGGTCTAGTGTAAGAGGGGTTGGCTACACAGCTGGTGCCACTCTGTGTGTGTGGATGATGGCTTTGTAAAAGACATACTCTCTAGGAATGTGGGGAAGGGCTACACCAATCGTTCAGGCCAGCTGTGTGGGGCGGTGGGTGCAGCATACAAGATGGTGAATCACAAGTCCTGGGTTTCCCTCTCTGCTCTGTTCCTTCTGGGGCTGATCTTTCCAAGGCATTTCCCTTTTCTGTGTCTCAGATTGCTCATCAGGGGTTGGAGGATCCCAAAATCTTAAGTTTTCCTGCAAGATCTTAGATCCTGGGGTTCCTTGGACTTTCTTCTTAATCCAGTCTTTATGACTCTGGTTTCACCAGAAACTCTTTGTGAGGAACAAGGCCCAGCTGTGGGAGGCATCGGTGAGAAACCTCAAGTTAAACCTAGGGCATGGGGCACAGGGATGGACCACGCACAGAATGCCTGAAGCTCATGATTTTCAAGTTTTTAGAGGCCTGGCAGGTGACAATGTAATGTGTGATGCAGCTAAATCTAGGACAATAGGAAATGATGAAGCTTGCTGTAAACTGGAGAGGGCACTTCCCACCAAAAGGCCCTCCAATTCTTATCTTTTAAACATAGCGCCTGTCACACAGAAGGAACCTGAGGGCTGGATTGCACTCACAGGCCGCAAGATTGAGACCCAATATGATCCCCAGAATGACAGTAAATACCTTTTCTGAAGCAGTCAACTTGTCTGTCACTGACCAAGAAAATTTTCTTTCAGGAACTTTAGGTCAGTGAGTTCCATTTCAATCAGATGTTTTCTATGGCATCTAAAAGCAGAGAGACACACAGGATAGAATGCACAGGAAGGAGCTTAAAAACTCACAGCCCATCTGAATCACCTCTAGGTCCAGCATTAATTTCAAAGTTTGTTGTGCTGCTAAATTGAAAACCTTGTCTGCAGCCAAAATGATCTCCAACTGCCTTCCAAACAATGTAGTCTCTGGGAGCTGGGGAGAGTCTCATAGGACTGTGGCTTTTCAGATGAGAGAATAGCAGGCAAGAAAGGAGACTTCTTGCTAAGCCCCATTAACGTTTTAATAGAGCTTAAAGCAATAGTCCTCTTTGAAAATACTTTATTCACAATTGACCAATTGTCATTAGATATAGTTACACTCCATGGCATCTTATTAGAAGGAGCTTTTTTGAACCACCTCCTCAAGTATTCATAGTAAATTCCTAACAGATGATGTCATAACAGGCTGTTACAATCCATAACATGTAGATACCATTAAAGCAATGTGTGTGACTTTTTGATACTGAAACATCTAAGTTTATTGTGAAGTTTGCTATAAAACCTGCTATGATGTATTTAACAATATTAAAGCGTTTATTCTTTAATATTGGAGTCATACTGCCCCCGTGAAGCCTGTTACTCCTGCCACGAATGAAAATTACTAAATCTATCAGTTCAACTTTTAAACACTTCCTTACGAGATTTTTTTCCCCTTCTTTCCTCTTCTTGCTTTTTTTTTTGCTATGAAAAAGCAGATGTTCTAAAGCTATAAGTAACTGAAAACCAGCAATATAGGCTCAAAGGCTGAAACCTAATACTTACAATAAGCTGATCCAATGAGAAATGTTTCCATGGTGACCCTGGTCGTGAAGTAGGAACCCGTGTGGTTGTCTGTCCTCGCTGAGAAGGTCGCCACTCATCAGGACCCTGTGCATTAGGATTCTCAATTAGAAACTTTCCTGACATCTGCAACTCTCCACTTACTTGATAAAAAGGCAAAATAAATATAAAATCTGTCTTTACTGCATCACATTCCATTGGCTTTACAATTGTCATATGTGGCAGTTATTCTGCCACGTAGGTGGATTCTGTGATGTATGTGAATTCTATAATTTCTGTAGGGAGATTTGAGTTTTGAGGTGGTGGCCCTACTGTTAATCTCTGTTACTATAGCAAACATTAAATTTCCTAATAAATCCTTCAGATAGGAATTGCTGTCATAAATATGTATTTCTAAGACCTAGTAAGATTTATAGATCTTAATAGGCAGACCAATGCCAAAAATGAGAGGAAAGCTGGTCTTCCCTAGAAGAAGCCATAAAATTCAAACAATGGAAGGGACTTGACTAAGTATGGCACCAAATTGCTAACCTTGGACTTCTAGGGAATGTGTGTATGTTGGGAAGAAATTCAAACTTCTCATAAGACCTTTGAGTCCAAACATGTCTGTATATTCTATCAGTTATACATGAATTTACTATAACCAGATCCTCTTTTAAACTACAGACATTCCTTAGAAGGGTTAAGCCTATGGATTATTCATTTTTTGCATGTTTTTCTTTGCTTTAGTAATTTTTAAAAGAGTCTCTTTAATTCAACTATCAAATAATTTAATGAGCACCTATTAGGTGTAAAATAGAGGACTATGTTCACTTGGAAGTTATACAAACAGATGCTGTCCTCTTCCCCTTGACAGCTCCTCAGAGGAGAGTTTGAAGGGTCCCAGTAAGAAGTTTCAAGTACTTCTGGTAACAGGCTCCATCCTGCTCCTCCTCGCCCTCCAGAACCCTCTGGATCTTTCCTGCTGTTCCTGTGGCCTGTACCCATGGAGACATTTTATGCTCATATTCTCTCCCAAGTCTTCTTTTCCATCCGGACTCTCTCAATCTCATGGCTCTACATGCCACAGCCATAGTCCAGCGCTCCTTATTCTCCCTATTCTAGAACCTCACCCGGATCAGTGCTCTGGACTTCCATTTGCCAAGAGGAACATTCAGATGGCAAAGACTCTATTTTTCTAGCTCCAGAACTGCACAACCCAAAGGTTGTCATTAGAAGCACCTACTCATTTCCCACACTAGTAAATCGGTGGGGTAATTCCCCCTCCTCATTCATTGATCACCCCAGCACTCGCCTCCTGAAAAGTGGTGAGTTAACTGACCAAGAGTGTAAAAGAAGAAATGGGCATGCTTGGCTCAGGCTCCTTTTCTTCCTTTTCTCTTCACCCACCTGCCCACAGAAATAGGTGTCTGTCTGTTTGTGGGCCATGGAGAAAAGGCCTACTCCTGGGGGCAAGGCTGCTGATGTCATAGGGGACATCAGATTCACAGCAGCAGGGTGTTAGCAAGCCCATCTGGCTCCCACATCTAGGCCATGTTCTTTAATCCAGTTCTAATAACTAAAAAGCTGTCAGTCAGATCGTTACTTGTCCAACTTCTGTGCCTACTACCTCTTACCTCATTCTGAATTCTGGCAAGAAAGAAGGCTGTTATTCTTTAGGTCCCCTAAAACACAAGCACTTTGACACTTTCTATGCTATAGGTGGTACCTACTCCACCCCTCCCCATCATGCTCCAGGGCTGCCTCCTGTAGCATTTACTTGGAGGCACGTTCCCTAAAAACAGGTGCAGAGTTATTCCACAGGCCCTGGAATAACTCTGGGCGGTGCTCTGCCATCCAACCCAGTTTCATACAAGAGAAATGTTTCTTTTTGGACACAAGTAGGCAAAGAGTGATCTCATTAAATCCATACCAATTTAATGTTAGAAAAGTAACACGACATTTCCTCTTTCAGAAGTATTTGTGTTGATTTTCATAGAGGAGTTAAATAACCCAAAGCGATAAGTAGTAATGGGGAAATTTCAGGCATACCTGAGGCAGCTATCTGGGGACAAATCCAATCACTCTTTACTGGAGATGGAGGGCCCAGGCAGGAAACATAAATGGTTGAAGCTTCTAAGCCTAAGAAAACCACTAGCTCAAGTATGATCACTGGCAACTGGTATTTGGTATCAGCATGAAGAAGTAATAGAGAGTGGAAGGGACTCAGTCAAACTTAACATTTGTGGACAGCAAATAGTTTAGGTCAGTTCGCAACAAGAGGAGGAAGCAATTAAAAAGACACAGCCCCTGCCTAGTGCCAGTGAATAGATTGTATTTTCAAGAGAAATAACAGAAATATGGATTTTTATGCAAAAATGCATTCCCCCTTCCATGTTAGCCACTAACTCATTAAGAAAACAAGATCAGGCTGGGCGCGGTGGCGCATGCCTGTAATCCCAACATTTTGGGAGGCCAAGGTGCGTGGATCACCTGAGGTCAGGAGTTCAAGACCAGCCTGGCCAACGTGGTGAAAACCCATCTCTACTAAAAATACAAAAATTATCCAGGCATGTTGGTGTGCTCCTGTAGACCCAGCTACTCAGGAGGCTGAGGCGGAAAAATCGCTTGAATCCGGGAGGCGGAGGTTGCAGTGAGCCGATATCGCATCACTGCACTCCAGCCTGGATGACAGAGCAAGACTCCATCTCAAAAAGAAAAAAAAAGAAAAAGAAAACAAGATCAAACAACAGCAACAACAACGAAACCTTGTGTGGGTGATTGTTTGCAAGATGTCTGAGACTGTCCTCAGGCCCATGTGGTGGCATATGGTTTGCCTGCAGTAACCACCACCGAGTCTTTCCTCTTCCCCTCCTTCCCTTCCACATATTAGTTAAAATCACCATGAAAACCTTCAAGGAGATAAGCATAGACTCATTTTCAATAAAATGAATTCTGGCTAGCCTGAGAAAGGGTTGCTTCTCAGCCATGAACGGCTGTTACTATCACCTTTAATGTGCAATATAACTTAGTGCCTTCTGATATCACTACTTTAAAAAGCTGAACTATACCAGAGGAAAAAAATGATAAAATTATTATCAAATTCAGACTTTTTCAAAGCACACAATTTTCCGCCATAGACTGTAACATCTTTAGAGTTTGAAACACCTGAAAAAAATCTGCGAGGGTGAATCCATCTTTCAAGTTACAGCCTTCATCAGCATTCGGGGTATCTCTCTGTTCTGCCTGCCCAGATTTCCACCTTGAAACTTAGCAACTTTATCCTTCTTACAGAAACTGACTCCTCCAAGCTAGAATGGGTTCAATAACTTGGTCCAACTGAATCTTTTGATTGTTGATCCTACATTGATCTTACATCTCAAACAAACCGTAAAAGAAAAGGTGAATTTCCCACTCCATTGGGTACCTGATGACAAGGTGCTTGGCCCTACAGGTTTTATTTACAGATCCACAAGGAAATGCCGTCTGTCTGAAAAGTGCTAAAAAAAAAAAAAAAGAAAAAGAAAAAAAAAGGAAACAGTCCATATGTGTATAACTGGAAGCTGATGATGCTCTTTTGGGACACCAGCAGGGCCCCGGGGCTGTTTGCATGAGAAACTAGCCTGCCACACAGTGCGGGAGAGGTCTCCGCTGCAGAATGGATGATGGAGGTTGACAGAAACAAAATTGCAGGCCAGTGATGGCTCCTTGCCACTTGCTCCTCAAAATTCCCACCAGAGAGAACTTTGTAAGGACTGGATCATTACATACATTAAATTTATGGAGACAAAACAAGTGGTTTGAGAGTAAAAATCAAATTACTGCAGATCAGGGCTAGTGAAGGGGGTCACACAGCATTTATTGACAGACTTGAGCTGGTTCCTTTCCCCCACCCTCTCCAGATGGGGTGAGTTTTTGGCTCAGTACAACCACCTGCTGCTGTTTGGGTGCGTGGTTCTCAGAACCACTGGCTAGCTAACAGTTCAACTCTTGAGAAGTTCTGCCCTGCTTTAAAATGCTCAGCTCCTCAGATGCATTTGTTTGTGTCAGAAATTGGTTTCCAGGTACAGAAGCCTCCAAACTCCGTAAGCTGGTGTGGATTCCTTCTGGTCCTGCTCTTCCCAACTTTCCTTGGAGGCATGAAGGAAGTTTGGCTTACAGTTCAGTTGCATAGGGACAGATAAACCTCCGGCTACCCACAAACCCAGGATGACACATGGTAGGAAGGGAGTTAAGTAATTTTCAATTTAGTTTAACAAAGAATTATTCAGAGATCCCCATCTTGAGGGAGTTGATAGCTCAAAAAGACAATGCATCATCAAATACTAAATCTGGTGGTTAATTACAGTGAACAGACAGCCTAGTTTGCCTGGAACTGTCTTGGTTTACACCTTTTGCCCCAGTGTACTTATTACTGAAAAAAAAAAGTCCCTGTTTGAACACTTAAAGATATATTCACCAGATATGAGGAGAAAAGAAGAGAGAAGACGCCTCAATTTTTTTCTTGGCTATGATTGTCTTCCCTAGCAAGGCACAATAGCAATATTGTTGATGGCTCCGAGAAAGTTCTTCAATGCCCTTTAGACATGGTTTTGGTATTTCTGCCATTCCTGGCCCCTAACAGCACAGAACAGTGTTGCTCCACAGGTGTAAATATCCTGTTTTTCCTGCAGACATCCAATTAGTGTCAAATTTAATAAATAAAAACACAGGATGCTCAGTTAAATTTAAATTTCAGATAGAAAACAAATAATATTTTTAGTATAAGAGGCTCAATTCACAGACCAGACTCAACCAGTGTTTTAGAGGCTGTGATCTGTGGGCACCTCGTCCTGATCCTGCTCGTGAGTTGCCCTCTGGCGGGCACTGTTTCCCCAAACCAGCTGATGGGGCCTGGACGTGAGGGACCCTAGGGAGCCCCGACCATCTCTACCCTCTTTCTCCCAGAGTCAAAACATTTTCTTTCCCTCAGTGGAAGATGAAAGGTTGCACAGGGAGGCCTACTTCTAGATGATGGTTACGTGAGACAATGATTTTCTGGGAAAAAGAAATACCACACTTTGGAGAAATGAGTAACTTCTTGGAAGGTTCAGTTCTCTGCCTAGAACTCTCAGTTCTTTGCCCTTGTAATTCTTACCTCCAGCACTAAAGAAGGGGAATGAAGAAGCTCTGGGAGGACGGGCTGGAGCCATAGTCATTCTTCCCAGTGGGGTTTGGAGAGCAGCATAAGCAGGTTCCGATCTGCATCCTCCCACACACGCTCCCAGACACTGTGGTCCGAGTGGTCTGTATGTTAAAGCCCGCTAAAGTCAGCCTTTAATCATGTCAGCTTCCACCTGTGGAAAGATTCCAGGGGACAGGTGAACACATACGGAAACACACACATACACACACACATACACACTTGTTTGTAACACACATTTCATACCTTGGGTAAAATGTAGGTGGTGGACACACATGAAGGAAAGAAAGAAAAAGGAAAGAACAAAGGAAGGAGGAAAGGGAGGAAGGCAGGAAGGAAGGAAGGAAGGGCAGGCAGGCGGGCAGCAGCGTGGATGAGACCCAGTGTAGCTTCAATTCAGCGATTTTTCAACTCGAGCCTTCTCTTATTTATTAATATTTTTGATCTACTTAAGTGTCTTTCTCTGAAACCGGATTCTGACCAGAAAAATTATTTTAATGAGATGACTATTCAGAGTTTAGAAAGATGAGTTTAGAAGTGAGAAGGCCGGGGTTGTTACTTGTCCTGGGCTTCTGACTGCAGAGGGATTTTCAGTTCTTTGTCTTCTCAGGCACAGGAGGAAGGATCCAGAGAAGGGCCTGGACAGCAAGTGTGCTCAGGCTAGAGGTCAGGTCACTGTTTGCAAACTGCAGGAAGCCACCTATTTGGAGGTTTCTCATCCAATTACACTGCAGGGAGCTAAGACAAAGCATGACTTTCTGGGGCTTAGAAATGGATGTACCAACCAGGCAAATTAAAGCTGGTGGTGGGGTTGGTGGGGGGAATGCATGTACTTCCGGAAGCAGTTGGGTGAGACCCAGAGAGGCTGTGTTGAAATTGACCCACATCCACCCAACCACAGAAAGGACCGTCTCTCACCCTTTCCCAAGGGAAAGCACTCAGGGAAGGGACAGAGAGCGTGGAAAGAGTGAGAGCTAGGGAGGCACCAGGTGAGTTGCCTTCAGGTCTGGCTGTAAACTGAGAGCAGAATCTGAGACCCCATACACTGGGACACACACCTCGTGTTCCAAAGTGCAAAGAGATGTCCTAGAATTGGGGGTTTGGCCCTCGTGTCATGCATTTTTAATCTTTTTACCAAAGTGATTTGTTAAATATTTTGCGTGGTGAAGCTGGTTATTACTGCTTTGTAAGACTTTTCAGCCAAGAAAGCCCACAAATCAGAGAAAATCCTGCCAAACCCAGTGCTGAAATTTCTGCTTCACAAAGTTCAGTTACCAGATCTAGAAACTGGAAATAGGACCTGCCCCAGGCAAAATTCTGAAGTAAACATAGTTTGCTTTTTAAGTCATGAGCCCAGCCTTTCTTTTCCCTGCTTTCCTGATCATTCTGAGCCCTGAGAATCCCAGCCTCATGGCAGGCTCTCTGACACAGGTGTTTGAGGTCATCCAGGGTTTCCTTTTAGTATTAAAATTGGGGTTATGGATGTAAGCCTTATTTCTAACAATAGAAGGATGTTTTGCTCTATGGAGAAAGTGGTGGAAGAAACTGGGGGCCAAAAGGTCCACACCCCCATGAGAAATCATGACCCAGAGTGAGTATCCGTTCCAGCAACAGCTGGGAAGGTCCTGGGAACCCTGGCTGGAGGAAGACTTGTTTGAAGCTGGAACCTTCAGCTAGAAATAGAGCACAACCCTTGCTTGATTCTTGAGTTTAGTCTCAGAGTTGTTTAGTTAATTTCTTTCTTTTTTTTTTTTTTTTTTTTTGCCAGACTTTCAGTGTCTGCCTCTGTGACCTGGAGCTGGTCACCATTAAGAAAGGAAGAGAGTTATCAGTGGGAAGTGTTCATTCTGTTCTCTGCAACAACTCCAGAGCGGCACCATGTGATAAGCCAGATGGGGACTATGTACATATGCCCACAATAACGGGTGAGTTTCTCTAGAGCACCTGTGTCCCCTGCTTACAACTCCACAGCCTAAGGTGGCTTAAGGGAAAGTGACCCAGGGATGGGACTGTTCCCATAATGGTTGCATCCCATCAGAAGGACTGGAGGTGCACACACATCTGGTCCACCTCCTACTCTTGAGCTCCCTCCATTGGACCCTGTGCTGGCCTGGGACTTTGGCCAGACTTCATGGCTGTAGAAAGCCAGGTCACAAACCTTTGAGCCTATGGGCCCACTCTGCACCACCAGACACTTTAATACTTCCAGCCATTTTCAGGGTCTAGCCCCTCCCAATCCATGACTCCAAGCTGGCTCTCAAATAGTACACACTGCTAGCCTAGAATTGTTCTCCTTTTGGCACCGCTATGGGGAGAGGTGTTGAAAGGAGGCTGGAGCAGATGGAAATGAGATTCCATTACTTTGTAAATGCCTAAATGACATTTCTTTTTAATGCAACCTGAGAGTTTTAGCATGTTTAAAAATTGTCCTATGCTAATTATGAGGCCCATTTTTGTTAAAGATGCATACACCTCTCTTGTAGTTTGGGGACGTTTTGGCTTTGAGGTTGGTTTCTGTGTGTGAATTCCATCCTGGGCACTGTTTAGGTCTATTAGTAACTGGCTTAGCGCTTGCCAATTTCCTTCCCTGGGTAATGACAGAGATGCTAACACAATAGCAAAGCTGTTAATCCCAAACATGTTACTAATAAGGCAAGCTGCCTTGCTAGAGGTTGCAGAGAAGAGGAGACGGATGTGGAAATGCTAATACGTGAATGAGAGAGCTCTCTCATACCCACGGATTTGCGGATAATGAGGAATGTCCTGCTTTTCTCAAAATGTCACCGCACTTAATCAACTCAGCTCCCTCACTAATCACATGCCATCGACTGATGTTTGGTATTTGGGAGGCAGTGAAGGTGAACGGTAAATGTGGATGAGTTTGCTCCATGGATGGCACTGGAAAGATTCTTGCTGGATTCAACTTCCTTCGTCATTTTTGACATGTTTCCCTATGTGCTTTATTGACTCTTTGGACACATAATAGACCCCATAGCTATTTATTTGTGAAAAGAAAATCAATACATGTGTGAATGAAATCCACCTCAATCTGGGCTATCATTTCAGAAAACAGCAAAAGCAGGGAGACTAGATACTGTAAGATTTGGGCCAAATGTAGTTTGGAAGCATGGCCTGGCCAAGTTCAAGAACTCTGAGGAGGTGGAGGAAAAGACAGAAATCATGGAAATTGATTCCTCCTTTCCCTAAGGAACAGGTGCAGACAGCTGTGGAGGAACCACACAAACAAATTCCAGCTTTGATTTGGAAATAGAAGTTGCACTGCGGACAATTGATTAAATCTTTAAGCAGTCTCAATTCCACCTGGCAATCTTGTTAGTAGTCCCAGACATGCTTGAAATTTGGTCATGCTCACCTGATAGGTATGGTGATGACAGAGGGGTAGCCACTGACCAAACTGATACATCTTGCTTGACATGCAGGGTAGTTCTGAAAAGCCATAAGTAATACTTCAACTTAGCCATAAACCAGAATGACTTCAGGAGCTTTAAAATCATATTGCGGCCTAATCTTCTCTGGAGATTCGGTTTCAGTTAGTTTAGTGTGGGCTCCCGAGAACTCCATTTCCCAATGCTTTTTAGATGATTCTGGAGCTCACCTAAGTTTAATAAGAATTTCTGTGTTTTCCAGACTTTGGTATTTCACAGATGAGTTAAATTTCTAAATAGGAGCTTGACTTAGGGCTGTCAACATTTTACTTTGCCAAGTAAAGGGGAAGGAACTAGCACCTGCTGTCTTGGTCAGCTAGGGCTGCTCCAACAAGAACAGTAGGTAAACTGGGTAACTTATAAACAACGCAAATGTGTTTCTCAAAGTTTCAGAGTCTGAGAAGTCCAAGATCAATGTGCTGGTAGATTTGGGATCTGATAAGCGCCCACGCCTCATAGTTGATACCTTCTAGCTGTGTCCTCATACAGCTGAAGGACAAACAACCTCCCTTGAGCCTCTTTATAGGAGAACTAATCTCATTCTTCAGGGCTTTGCCCTCAATAGGTGACCTAATCACCTCCTAAGGGCCCTACCTCTTAATCCTACCTCATTGGGGATTATATTTCAACATATCAATTTTGGGGAGACGCAAGCATTCAGACATAGCACCTGCTGTCAACATTATTTCATAAACAAAAGGTGGATTCATACCAAGGAAAAAACTGGAAGGACAGATCTTTAAACGCATTTAGCTTTATAAAAAATTCATCATGCTGGCTGGGTGCGATGCCTCACACCTGTAATACCAGCACTTTGGGAGGCCAAAGAAGGCAGATCACTTGAGCTCAGCAGTTCAAGACTAGCCTGGCCAACACGGTGAAATCCCGTCTCTACTAAACATAAAAAAATCAGCCGGGCATGGTGGTGCACACCTGTAAGCTCAACTACTCAGGTGGCTGAGGCAAGAGAATCGCTTGAACCCAGGAGGCAGAGGTTGCAGTGAACCGAGACCATGCCACTGCACTCTAGCCTGGGTGACAGAGTGAGACACTGTCTCAAAAAAAAAAAAAATTACCATGTTGCCACAACCTTGTACACAGCAGCTCATTCACAACATCTCAAAGGTAGAAACAGCCCATTAAGATGAATGGATAGGCAAAATATGGTATATACATACAATGAACTACTATTCATTCTTAAAAAGGAAGGAAATTCTGTGACATGCTATATAACATGAATGAAACTTGAGGACATCTTTATGCTAAGTGAAATAAGTCAGTCACAAAAGTCCAAATATTAAATGATTCCACTTACATGAGTTTCCTAGAGTAGTTAAATTCATAGAGAAAATAGAATAGTGGTTGCCAGGGATGGAGGGGATGAGGAACGAGGAGGCAGCATTTAATGGGCACAGAATTTCCGTATAGGATGATGAAAGAGTTCTGGAGAAGGATGGTAGTGATGGTCACACAGCAATGTCAATACACTTAATGCCATTGAACTGTATACTTAACGATAAATTTCATGTTATGTATATTTTGCACCAATAAAACAATTACAACTTTGCTTTTATTCTCTCATTTTGTTGTGCATATCGGCATTTGACAGCCACTGCTCAGAATGAAGTAATCTCCGATGTCTTAGAGAGAGGAAGGAAGGCCTGTGGATACACCCTAGGTGACTGAGTCCAGTTACCC